ATCTTCGTCGAACTCGTGGACATGCTCGGGAGAGAACAGATACATGTGATTATACTTTTCGAAATTTTCAAACTCTTCAATCTGTTCTTCGTTTTTGTTCACGTGAAATAATCTGAGATCTCTTGGGAATCCAAGGTCTTTATGTAATCCAGGATCTTTACATATTCCAAGATCTTTTGGTAATTCCAGATCTCTAGGTAACGCAGGATACTTATGTAATCCAATATCTTTGGGGATATCACCATCTTTGGTTAATCCAGAATCACGAGGTAATCCAAGATCTTTAAATGATCCAAGATCCGTAAAACTCTCTTCATTATTAATTGACTCGTTCATCGATAATGAAGACAAACTTATTTCCTGTGAAAGAAAATTGAACATATAATATAACCAACAGAACAGAATCTCCCATGATAAACATTTAACGTATTCATGTGAAAATTCAAACCAAAGTTATCAGTAAGGATGCAAACTGATAAATTATCGAGAGTGTTAAACATTTATGGTGCGAGAGAACCCCACATACAAGAACCTAGATTTTTCAAGTTGGTCCAAAGAGTTTCTCATATAAATGGTGCTACTCGTGATATTAAGGTAAACAGGTTCTTAAAACGACTCTTACTTTCTAAAGAAAAAGTAACCCCTTTTCCATTGGTGTGGAATGTATTGAAATAGATTATGCCCAAATTGCTTTATAGAATAACAGTACGTGCCTCTATATCAACTCTACATTATAGTATATAATCTTATCCAGGATTCTGACTCGTGAGTAATTTCCACTACTTTGTAAAGAGTCTATTTTCTTCGAGTTATGTACTTTAACTTCGACTTATTATGAATAAAATAAAAACTTTGAAATCTTAGCCTAAAGAGGTTCTTACGTAAAATGGCTTTAAAGTAACTCTTTTTTTAAGCCAACAAGTTCATTGAGATGAAGGTTCTTCTGTATACGCGGAGCTCTACTACATCATACTCCTTGAGAACATTACACGATCATCTTCTTCTTCTAATGTAAAATTATATATTTTGATCAGTGTTTTGTCGGTGTTTAAATAAAACGTTTACCTCATTCAGCATTAAACTTCTGATTGACATGTTTGAACGTCGTAGAAATTTCATACCACATGTTCCATTAAACGAGCGTTCAATTGAATAGGACAACGTTGAAGTTCCGCAGTTGACTATCGCATCGTTTTTTATTGTGACGGACTCCTCTTTCGTTTTTACTTCATGAGTTTTATCATTATTTGATCTCTTTTCTTTGTTTTCTGTAGATGTTCTACCGACATTAAATTCGCGATCTTTCGATGTTGTGAAATCGGCATTCTTCTGCAACATTTCCCTCGAAACAACGTGGTACTTATTATCTAAATTATTTGGTGTTTCCATGAGATTAGAGTTGAAATCAGAGAAAGTTTGTTGCAACATAAGCCTTTTGTCAACATCTGAATCGTCTGAGGGCGACAAATGATGTTTTTCTCCATTAGAATCAATGGTAGTGTCATCGTTAGGATGAAGATTTTCGTAAGAACTTTTCTCCTCAACAGTTACATTATCCAAATGAATTTCTTGATCTTCTATATCTGAATTAATGGTGGTGTTATCGTTAGGATGAAGATTTCTGTAAAAACTTTTGTCCTCGACAGTTACATTATCCAAATGAATTTCTTGATCTTCTCTATCTGAATCAATGGTGGTGTTATCGTTAGGATGAAGATTCTTGTAAAAACGTTTGCCCTCAACAGTTACATTATCCAAATGAATTTCTTGATCTTCTATATCTGAATTAATGGTGGTGTTATCGTTAGGATGAAGATTTTGGTAAAAACTTTTGTCCTCAACAGTTACATTATCCAAATGAATTTCTTGATCTTCTATATCTGAATCAATGGTGGTGTTATCGTTAGGATGAAGATTTTGATAAAAACTTTTGTCCTCAACAGTTACATTGTCCAAATGAATTTCTTGATCTTCTTTATCTGAATCAATGGTGGTGTTATCGTTAGGATGAAGATTTCTGTAAAAACTTTTGTCCTCGACAGTTACATTATCCAAATGAATTTCTTGATCTTCTCTATCTGAATCAATGGTGGTGTTATCGTTAGGATGAAGATTTTGGTAAAAACTTTTGTCCTCAACAGTTACATTATCCAAATGAATTTCTTGATCTTCTTTATCTGAATCAATGGTGGTGTTATCGTTAGGATGAAGATTTCTGTAAAAACTTTTGTCCTCAACAGTTACATTATCCAAATGAATTTCTTGATCTTCTATATCTGAATCAATGGTGGTGTCATCGTTAAGATAAAGATTTTGGTAAAAACTTTTGTCTTCAACAGTTACATTATCCAAATGAATTTCTTGATATTCTCTATCTGAATCAATGGTGGTGTTATCGTTAGAACGAAGATTTTGATAAAAACGTTTGTCCTTATCAATTACATTGTCCAAATGAATTTCTTGATCTTCTTTATCTGAATGAATGGTGGTGTTATCGTTAGGATGAAGATTTCTGTAAAAACTTTTTTCCTCGACAGTTACATTATCCAAATGAATTTCTTGATCTTCTATATCTGAATCAATGGTGGTGTTATCGTTAGGATGAAGATTCTTGTAAAAACTTTTGTCCTCAACAGTTACATTATCCAAATGAGTTTCTTGATCTTCTCTATCTGAATCAATGGTGGTGTTATCGTTAGGATGAAGATTCTCGTAAAAACTTTTGTCCTCAACAGTTACATTATCCAAATGAATTTCTTGATCTTCTATATCTGAATTAATGGTGGTGTTATCGTTACGTTGAAGATTTCTGTAAAAACTTTTGTCCTCGACAGTTACATTATCCAAATGAATTTCCTGATCTTCTCTATCTGAATCAATGTTGGTGTTATCGTTAGAACGAAGATTTTGATAAAAACTTGTGTCCTCAACAGTTACATTATCCAAATGAATTTCTTGATCTTCTTTATCTGAATCAATGTTGGCGTTATCGTTAGGATGAAGATTTCTGTAAAAACGTTTGTCCTCAACAGTTACATTATCCAAATGAATTTCTTGATCTTCTTTATCTGAATCAATGGTGGCGTTATCGTTAGGATGAAGATTCTTGTAAAAACGTTTGTCCTCAATAGTTACATTATCCAAATGAATTTCTTGATCTTCTATATCTGAATCAATGTTGGTGTTATCGTTAGGATGAAGATTTTCGTAAAAATGTTTCTCCTCAGTTACTGCACCGTCCAAATATGATGTTTGACTTTCCATGTCACAATCATTTGTGATGCTATCGCTTTGTACCTGACTTTGCAAGCAATCAACAGTTTGTCGCTTTTCTGACGAGCATTCCGGGAGAGCATTTCTCTTTTCTATGCTATCTTTCTCGTATTTTCCATCATTATCTTGCATAATGGCAGCAAACTCCTCGTCATAGTCTGAATTAAAGATCACTGGATCTTTGTCATAAACGTGAGTCTTTGCTATTTTCAACACGGGAGGAAATATGAATTTTGGCACAAACTTGACGGGATTGAAATCATAGACATGACTAGGAACTAACTGATCGTCCAAATCACCATCTTCAAGATCGTCTGACATTACCAAAGTATCGTCATCACTGTGTTCAGTTTCACTGATGTCGTAGTATTGCACTGAAACCATATTCTCTTCAAAACGAACGCATTTTTTTGCTTTCTCGAGAGTCTTACTTGAATTTGACATGATATCATTGTTTTCATTCAAAGCCACATCGTTTGGTACAGATTTTGACGCTTCATAATTTTCTAAGGTAATAAAAAAAACTGAATTTAGCTAACGGTGTAACTGGTTGAGTGTCACGCTTAACAGAACAGTACTCGCTTGCAAGTTGAAAGACATGGTTAAAACATACAAATACCCACTTATACTACATATCCTTTATCAACTGAAAATTGATGGGAATTCAAGGTATCAAACAATATATATTCAAAACCATAAATGTGATACAAACCCATACAATTTTCTTCAATATTGCAGCTTGGTTTACCAGTGTACATGGTCAAAAGAGATTGGCGTTGAATTGATTAAAATTTTTCGTTTATAACCTTTCTGAAGTCGGCATGGACAAGTCCGCTGACAAGTTCACTTGAAGTCTCACTTCTTGGGAAAGATTCTGACGAAGGTACATTGAAATACGAGTTAAAAAGCAGCAATTTCGAGTTGTTTACAGCATTATTTCCGTGCAAAACTTCGTCCTATCTACAAAATAAACTTCCGTCGGCTTGAGTTTCGATGCATTTCTCTACAAATTCATCCCGACAATCCCTCTCCAGTTTTTACCACTGCGAGACAATTTCGTTAATTTATCTTTTAATATTCCTTAGTTTTTTATTCACGGACTTTTCATTTCAAAACGTACACAATTTTCAAGGCTTTTAAATTCAAACGTACGTAGTTTTCAGCTTTTTGGACATTTTGTTTTTATTTTGTTGACAAGTTTGTATTTTGGCGGCAAGACATCACGTGACAACATTAGCATTTTCGGCCCAATCTCCGCTGCGCGGTTGATAATCGTACCATTAATTAGATTGATATATAGGTACAATAAAAAACTAATCTGATCTGTTTATCAATCAAACCTAATAATAGTTTTCTAGTATTTTTCAGCATTTAGTATGATGAATGAAAGACAGAGCACAAGAACTGTCCTTATGCTATCTAAAATATAAAAGAAATAAGATAACGTGTGTCAGTGTAATGAGTGATGAATGAACAACAGAGAACGAGAACAGTCTTCACACAAATAAATTACATAAACAAAATTACATAAGCCGTTATTCGAGAACACGGCTAAGTGGCATGACCTAGCGCATACACGCAATACAGCTATCTGGTATTAATACCAGAATTCAACCAATGAAATGGTGTCCCTACCAAACTACCATATATAGTTTCGATGTTTGCTCTAACGGAAATGTAAAAGGCCATTGAAGAGCATATATGGTATCTAATTTCAATAACTTGTTGACGCACGGCGCAGGATAGTCAATGAGTTTTATGGCATTCACACTAAATCTACAGTAAACATACAATAATATGACCGACACAAATGATGTAGATCAAAATGTACGTGTGAGTTTTCAACTGTCGCGCGAGGCTGCGATCAGGCTACGTGAGCTGGCATTGACTAAACGCGACTTGCTTTGTAAACTAGGTGTATTGGCTGTAAAGTTGGGAAACGAATCGCAGATTTGTGTGACGTCCGGTCGACCGGAGTTCGAAAAACGAACACATAGAACGAATCTGGAAGTTTCAAGAGAATACGGTCGAGAAAAGTACAACCGTTATGGAGATGCTAAAAAAATATCTAAACTAAACTCGACAGCAGGAAAGAGAGATTTCACAAATTCTGCCAAGGAAATGGTGTCTGTTTGTCCAGCATTAGCTAAAGCAACGGCCGATTCGGTAATCATTTCCGAGGATGCTTTACCATCAGTGAGTTTGCTAAACAAAGAATCATTCATAAGAGGCGAAGGATCATCATCGCTGTATGAAAGATTCGATGCCAGAAGAAGTGACGATTCAACGAGAGAATATTATGGTAGTGTAAACGAAGACCCTTTGAGTGTAAAATCTATTTTAAAAGCAAAAAATGGCTTGAAAGCGAACACTATCGATAAAAATAAACAAGCAAGAGAGATGCCTTCAATAAACACAACAAACAGCAGCGAGTTGTATACGAAAACAACTTTAAAAGCGAACAACGTGACACTTGGCAATATGGTGGGAAAAACCAACAGTACAATTTCGAATGAAGAGTTTTCCGAGGCAGATGAGGTACGAGATAATATACTAATAGAAAATATGGATACATCAAGGAAAAATATTACAAGAGGCCAAGTGACTTGTCATGATATGACAACAGGAACATTGAAAGAGGATTGTGGTGAAACAGATATATTTGACAACGAGGAAGATATCGTTAAGCGGGATGATGAAATTCTTTGTAAAGGAAAAAATGATTTGTCGATCGATTCGTCATCCATAAACGAGGAAGACAACCTGTCAAACATGACAGATTCATTTGACTGTAGCACAAACAACGAGTTCGGCTCTTTACCATGCCATGGTATTTCATTTGCTCAACACTTAATTAACCTAAGCAAACAATATCGCTTGGAAAACGAAAAATGCGGTGACAAATTCTTCGAGGCGTCGAAAATTGTAAAAAATGACCATGTACTACGTAGTTTTACGACGGGCAATGACAAACAAGAGGATTTTATGGGCCTTCCCGGTCAAAACTCGCTACTTTTTGGTGATAATTTCAGTGCTTCTACAGTAAAAAGCGCCGAAGAACTGAGCAAAGAACACAGCGAAGCTTCACCAACTAATTTAGACACCATGTCCGAGGCGTCAGCGGATTCTTACCATTCCTTATTTGAAGATGCACGTCTAGGAAGTGTACACGAACTAAGGTATTTCAGAATTTTCAGGAATTTCCTTTATAGTCACGCAATATGTTTTTAAAGGGTCGTTTGACTTGAAACATTTTTCTGGGGATATGCAGGGCTGGGATTGTCTCCCCCCAGCATTTTACTCCGGTAGAGGGTGTAAGAGCGATCTAACACAACTTTTTAATGGTGGAATGGGTATCGTAGAGTAATAAGAAATCAAAACTTACGTTGCAATTATCCCGGTGTACTTTGAGAACTACTCGGGGTTGGTAAACGAGTTGCACACGTCTTTAAAATTTAGACTGAACTAAGTCTGGATTATTCTCTGTGACGTAAGGGATAGGAAGATTCAATCGATGGCGTGGACAAGTTTCACCAAAAAAGCTTTTTGGTCGATGCCTCTCAATCTCATTAATACGACGTCATGATGTTAGATCACAACAAATATCTGAAATTCTGTCCCTTTTGTCTGCGAAAAACATTACTCGAAAAAGAATCGAGCAGGCTTTCCTGCTCGAGTTTTTAATGTATTTAAGAGCCATTCAATGTAGAAATTAATGGTCAAATGCTGGTTTTAAGTGTGAAACCACAATCCTAAGGCTTTCGCAAATCTCCGTCATTTGCCCGCCTCAAAATGGCATCTTCCCGAATTTGGAAGGAAGAGGCCGTTTGCCGACGGCTATGAGCATTTTGAAAAACAACTATTTTGGTGGATTTTTATAAACTAATAGTTTTTGTGTTTTGATTTAGTTGGTCGCCATCATCAAATGAGAACATACCAGTCACTATTAGTAACGGTGGTCATAAAATACTAAAAAAACCATCTCCAGCACCTGTGGTCAAAATGCCAATGGCAGATGTGCAAAGACCGATGAAACAAGAAAAGCCATTAAAGAGAGCAAAATGTAACTGTTGTTTATTTTTGTTATGACAATAACGATTAAATCAAAGAGTATACGTCTTTGATCCCACTATACACGCAGAGGTTGAGAGTATAACCGCTGGCCAAAATCTCAACGAAAACAACGCAGTTGTTCGTTTCCACCTATGTAATTTTACATTAACCATATACACAAACCTATTTTGACGTATTTTCCTTTTTACTGTTAGATCAACGACACATCAAAGGCCACAGTGGAATTATCTGCAAACTGTGTATGCATCCAGTGTCCAAATCGTACAGTTGCTACAAGATTGCGCATGCGCCTAAAGAAATACGCCATCTTTTCGAAGATGGTCCCATTGTGTCCGGGTTTGTCGCCGTTGCTTGCCTTATAAATCGCCAAAAAGAAACGACAAGAACTCTCAAAAGAAAAAACACAAGAATAACATTAAAATTGCAAACTGAAGTTTTGAAATTTAGAAGTGTAAATAGTGGCGTAAATGAACTTACTTTCGTGTGACATCTTGACGCGAAAAAATGCATTTTCAGAAGAGCTCTTGATGCATTTTGGGAAGATTGTGGATATTTAACGAAGATTTTCAAAATTTATGATGCACGCATTTTTATAAATACTGACATACATTTAAATCACTTTCAGTAATTTCGCTTGTTTTTAACTGGAATTCCTTTTTTTAACTCAAATGAACGATGTATAGATAGTTAATATATAAAAGAAACAAGATAATTATTGAATAAAAGAGAGATAATTTTTACCGACGCAACGAATCAGAAGTGTACACGATTACCACTGCACAGATGTAACAAGATCTCCACAAATCCGTTTATCAGCTCATTGAGAATATACGTCAACACTTAAAAGACTTACTTCAAATATTTTTATCTCGATAAACAAACACGCCATCAATTTTTCTTAATCATTTAGCGCCATATATGTTAACGATGGTTAGACAACTGTGCTTTCCCACCAGATAATTTCAAAAATATATAGAACGAAACGTACTCCGATTAAAACAAAATTTAAAATATGAGTTATACGAAAAAACAAGCGCCACTTCTTCAATTGGTCATATTTCAACTGTATTTGAGAATGAAGGTCAAAATATGTGTTCAGAGCAGAGCCATTCCGAGAGTGTTGATTGGGAAAGGGGGGGGGGTATTCATATATTTAGTTGCAGCCGACTTATTTCCTTTGAACGCAAATTGCTTAATGACTTTGCGTAAATTGCTTTCACGGAAAATCAGTTGGGCTAAACTGAATATACTGAATTAAACACGCATAAACACGCCTAATACTAAAAAGGGACGGTTCTGGATGTGTCTTGTTTTTTTTCTTAATGCTCATATCTTGAGGATTTTGTAAAACGTCTTTGTTTATGACTATGTTTCATCACATATTTAAACAGTTCCGTTCTTGAGCTAATTTCTAAACATGGTGTTGTTCCAAACGCTATGAAGTTCAAGCATTTGTAGAACAGCAGCCATAGTTTTACAATACCATCCTAGTGTTCTACGTCAGTAGTCTAACTCTCACGTTTTTAAAGATTTTTTAATAGAGTGCAATCATCAGCTATATATCAAAATGTTCATACGATACACATATATGGTATTTGATCACTTCAAAGTGACAAAACATCGAAGATTTGAATTTTAGTTCAAACGTCAAAGTTTAATCATTCATCTTATCAAATCATCCTTAAACCTACTTGACTGACAAGGATATACTTTGCTAGGGATCGTCTTGTAGAATTACAGGCGTATAGTTACACTGCAACTGAAGTCATTTGATGACGTAATGCGGTCACGTGAGATGTGCAACCTTACCATGGGCTCGTGTCTGTATCGATGGCAACGCAATTGTAAATTGCATACCTGGAAAAAGTTTGAAAATATGAACGTTAATACAACACTAAAACTTTGGACGAAATACAAAACAACAAAATACAAACTTTATTAATGAAGCAACATTGTTTTCTTTGCTACATTCATGTGATTAATTCGCGGTTTTGGCTTAGAACAGATGGTGCGCAGGAAGGGCGTCAAATCAACAGCCGTGTGTGTGTGTGAGTGTGGTGTTGCGGAGGGCACACGCCCCTCCTGGCTTAGAGCAGATGGTGCAGGAGGGCGAACAGCCCGCAGCTGAAGGGCGTCAAATCAACAGCCGTGTGTGAGTGAGAGTGAGGCACACGCCCTGGCTTAGAACGTGCAGGAGGGACAGCCGCCACTCCTGGCTTAGAACAGATGGTGTGCAGGAAGGGCGTCAAATAACAGCCGTGTGTGTGTGAGTGAGAGGGGTGGTGTTGCGGAGGGCACACGCCCGTCCTGGCTTAGAACAGATGGTGTGCAGGAGGGACGTCAAATTTCAAACAAAAATTATTATACCAAGCAATCGAGCAAAATCCATCGCTTTAAGAGTTTAATGGAGCACACTTTCGACAATTCCAGAAACATGGGATAAAAGAAGATTTAAGAAAATGTCTGTAAGTGTACAGGGACAAAGTATCCACTGAAATATAATCCGAACTAGAACACCCCCCCCCCAAAAAAGTCTTAGATCCATCCTCACATTCTTTAAACGAAGGGTAGCTTCCTCAGGGATGGTAGATTTGTTTCGCAACTCTGATTTAACTATCAGAGAAAAATTTACAGAATCACCTTAATTTCTTTTCAGCAACCTCCACGGATGAGTAAGATGGTAGCATAAGTGTACTCGCGCAGGTTGAGGCCCCGGGTAATGTGTCTTTCTCGCCAGACATCTGCGAGAGAGTAATGCATGCAGGTAGTCGTTTACGACCGGTGACGAAACGCAAGAACCGACTACGATCGTCCAAGGAGAAGTTTTCTAGGACCTTCCACAATTGTTGAACGCATTCTGAGTCTGAGGATAACTCATCGCCATAATGAACTAAAAATACAGAGCAATGAATTATTTTGCAAAGTGAATTTTTAATCATTGAGATTCTATTGTCGTCATCAGGAGTGATCTGATGTTGAAACTTGAGTCCTTATATACTCCAGTCTAGTGTCTTCATCAGGAGTGATCTGATGTTGAAACTTGAGTTCTTATATACTCCAGTCTAGTGTCTTCATCAGGAGTGATCCGATGTTGAAACTTGAGTTCTTATAAACTCCAGTCTGTCTTTATGAGGTATCTTACTTGATATACTAAAACCGCGACTGATACCAGAGGACATCGTTGAATATACGGAAGACAGCCCTTCACAAACCTTTTCCAACATTTCAAAATCAAAATATTATAAAATCTTACTCGACTCCTTGAGTAAAGACATAGATATTTCGGTAAATCCACAAACTCCTTTCTCGAGTTCTTGTGAAGTAATTAATTCAAGTAAAGATTGAGGAATAACGGTAAGAATTCCACTACGGATGGCTTTGATCTACACGAGGAAATAAATAAAACAAAACATTAGAAATCGCTGAAAATGACGAAAGATTATAAACAACAGCGAAGCAAACAAAAACCAACTCTTCACATCAACAATACAAATAATTTTGTGTCCATTCACGGGAAAAGCAACGAGTGAAATAAATTTCCCAAAGAAATGAACAAGAATTTCGCTGAAAAGCTCGCATTGTAGCATTGAAAATTCTGACGAACTTTGCCACATAACACTGATTCGCACAGTTGTTATTTTTCTACAAAGATGATCCTTTGGCTGAACAGCTAATTCCCGCCAAAAATTGAAGGTATCAAGCTATCTAGTCCCAGTCTTTTCACACAAGACCAAAACAAAGATGAATGCAAGATTCTACTTTAAATACGCGTTAAATACATATTGACAGTCTACATGGAGCGAAAATGAATTGACAACGGGAAATCGTTTGATTTAACAAAACGCGAACGTTTGTAACTCTAACTATTGTCGATAACGAACGACTTTTTAAAACCTTTTTACGAAACAATAAAAAGAAATTTGACCTGTTCCAAAGACTCCATCATCCTCGCTTTCTTTACAAGTTCACAATACTCAAATCTCGATTCATAATTCACCATAGTATCACAATGTTTCACAGTAATTATGGTACCGTCGCTGTTAGCCGTAGTGTAGTCTAGATCGGTGCCAAACTGCGTTTCAAAATCGTTTTTCGTTATAACTTCAATGTTATCTATGAAAGAACAAAACAGACGGACATAGATAGGACGTAATTAAAGTGAAAACATAGAAAGGAGTTGCTTTGTTAAAAGTTGGAACGCCTTTGAAAATAATGCAACAATGAAGTTTTCTAAATGAATGGTTTGAACACAAGAGTATGGTTAAATGTTTTAAGATGTAGGTTATCTACGGTTGGTAAAGTCCTGAGAAGGACTGTTGTTGTTGGTATTATTGAACTAAAATACATGGAACACTACCTGAAGCAAATAATTGAAGCCAAATCTTACATCAGACACGCGAGATTTCACCCCAGACACGCGTGTTTAGTGTTTCGAGATTCTCTCGCGGAGTAATAATTGATTGACTACACACGCGTGTCTTGGGTAAAATCACGGCTTCAAAAAATTATTAGGGTTTTGTATTACAGGTAGCGTTCCATGTATTTTAGTTCAATGGGTGATGTTGACTGACGTTCCACCATCTTACAGGTAGTCATCTTCAAAGTTATAATTTGTGACGTATGAGCCAGATAAAAATAAAACACGGAACATGATGTATAATCTTTACTTGACTCTGAAGATGTCCACGGCTAAGGACGTCTAAACATAAGTGAACAGTGAACACAAACATTCTTCCTGAGGACTGTACAAAGCACAATTTACATAGACAAACATCCCAAAACAGGCCAAAAACTTGCAGGCTGGCTTCGCTGCAGGTTATAACATCTAGAGAGTTTGCGCAGGAGAGACTCGAGGCTCGTTCTCATCTTACAAATTACTCAGCCGAGAAAACAAAGCAGACACGGTCAGCAGGGTTTTCAAACGACAAAAACTATGACTCACTTATCATATTCACGGCTAATGCATCAACGTTAACGAAATCTTTGTGCCACGTGACATGCTCGCTGACGATCAGCTTCCAAAAATATGGCGGGAAAAACAGCGCAAGACTTTCGTCACTACGATACGCGGCTCCCATCAGTCTACCAAGCCAATGAAACGCTTTCATGTCTCGGCATGAGGGATTAGGCACGAAGCAGTCACGATGATCTCCGACCTTGTCCTGAAATTTAAATTAAAACACTCTCGAGAAAAATATTTAGACTCGATGACGAATGATATACCTGTAAACATGACAAAGTAGTTGTACTTTTGAAGTAAAGTGCTCAATTCTGATATAGTAGCGATTTTTCTTATTTAATAGCAGTTCTAAGTACTGGCGTTTTATCAACATTTTTTTGTCAGTTTCAGGCCCCAGTTGACCATGAGAAAGATAGGTAAAAAGGGGTAACAGGGGGTATAGGGGATAACACGGAGTAAATGGGAGTAGTAAAAGGGGTAACACCGGGGTATAAGGGATAACAGGGAGTAAATGGGAGTAGTAAAAGAGGTAATAAAGGCAAAAGGGGGCTACATAGGGGTAAAGTGAGTAAAAGGGGGTAACAGGGTAATAAAAGAGAATTCATAAATATGAAATTCAAGATAAAGTTACTTTACGAACCCGATTGTTGACAGTTTTCACCAAAAGTGGTAAAGTTTTGTTCGTATTGAGTTCAGCCGGAGGACATAATTCATCAGATACTTCCGATAACGAGTCACGGAATCCACCGCCCTAGAGAATTGGGACGAACATTCGTAAAACTATTGAAATGTTAAACAATACGTCAACAACACATGAGCCGTGCTTCCGCTTACTTGATCAATTATTCCTTCTCCAACAAATTTCACTTCCCACCACTGATCGCATTTTCTTTTATTCCACCTGAATGGATAAAGTAAAAATTGTAAACTTTTCAGACCAGCCCACTACAGTGCCGTATTATTACCGAGTCGAATAACTACAGTAGAAGATTATTGTTCAACAATCAACTAAGTCCTTCCATCCAATTCACACTTCCGTACTTCCTTTGAAATGATGAAATAACACACATATAGTACCGCTCGCGAATTTGTTAACATAATTTTGCGTATGATACGCGTATCGTTCTCGTATCATACGCATATCGTTTTATTTAATACGCGTATCGTTCTCGTGTCATACGCATATCGTTCTCGTGTCATACCCGTATCATTTCATAAGTAGAGCCTCGGCTTGTAAATGGAGTCCGATGATGAATTAGTAATAAATTCGAAACATTACGGTTGAAATTAAAATTTCCTCGTTTGTTTCTCGTGTCTGGGTGTAAAATTTGGCTTCAAACAATTAACAGGCTTTTCTATTACAGGTAGCGTTCAATGTATTATAATGGTATAAACATGTACGATATCTTAAGAATACATCGCTATTCACACTAGCTTAACAAAAGAAACAGCCCCATCATCTTGATGAAGACCAAACAACACTGTATATTTTGGGAAACTGCAGCCATTATTGCTATTTGTGTAAAAACATACGTAAAAGACAAAACTTTCGTTGCACAAACCTGAAACTGACATTTTCGGATTTCAACGACTCAAATATTTGATAAAAAACTGATGTTTTCGGATTCATGAGTCGATCTTTGACGGACATCTTTCGATCGATGTAAACAACGGGAACTTGTTCCGGCAGCGGTTGCTCCGTTGCTCTTAACAGTTCTGCTAAAATGCCCGCACGACGGTTGGACAGCGGCAAAAGGAAACGCAAATTATAGAGAATGGAGCAAGAGTTAGATTTGCTCTTGATGATGTCGGGCGTCCACGAGAAATACGGCTTGCAACTCTGCATGCTTCTGCGAGGTGGATCAGTCTTGCGTTTTATTCGATTTAGGTTTCCCATAAACTGTTTAAAATTTTCCTCTTCCCTTTCTAAGTACTCCATCTGTTTCTGAAGAGCTGCCATTTCCTCTTCGTTGCTTTCGCTTTCCCGTAAGATTTCCGTTTGTTTCTCAAAAAGATCATTACGCTGAGTCTTGTTTTCGGTGATACGCTCTTGAACGACACGCAGCTGCTCAAGTTGCCGTGGGCTCAAGTGCTTCGAGTGAGCTTCAATGCGATGCATCATCGTCTTTTGTTCGTCGAATAGCTGCATCTGAAGGATGGGAATATGTTTTGAGAGAGAACAAATTTTGTACATTTTGTTATGCTTTCGTAGGGAAGCATTCATTACACGAACAATGTGAGCGCATAAAAATGAATGATATTTTGCAACTGTTTTATATCACATTACCCAAACTGACAGTCGGTGAAAATATTTAAACATTGAACAAAATGTTAACACTCTCAACGCTTTCGTTCGTAAGTTTACATGGTACAGTGTTTTTTGTCAAGTTAGAGCACGAATGATTTAAAGTTTGTAGATGAAACTGTATCTAAAAGCAGGTTATATAATGAACATAATAGGAGGAAGTACCAATTTCATGCAATCGGTTGTTTAGATCTGAGATACCACAGTCAGCTTGACACTAACTCGTTTTAAGAAGTAACCAACCAGTTTTTAGATGCAACAAACCTGTTTTTACATAAAAATAACCTGTTTTCACATAAGACTAACCTGTTTCTAAATACAACCAACTTGTTTTCAGACACAACTAACCAGTATTCAGATATACCCAACGCGTTATTAACACAACTCACCTGTTTTCAGACGTAACTAACATGTATTTAGATTTAACTAACCTGTTTTCAGACGTAACTAACATGTGTTTAGATTTAACTAACCTGTTTTCAGACGTAACTAACATGTGTTTAGATTTAACTAACCTGTTTTCAGACGTAACTAACATGTGTTTAGATTTAACTAACCTGTTTTCAGACGTAACTAACATGTATTTAGATTTAACTAACCTGTTTTCAGACGTAACTAACATGTGTTTAGATTTAACTAACCTGTTTTCAGACGTAACTAACATGTGTTTAGATTTAACTAACCTGTTTTCAGACGTAACTAACATGTATTTAGATTTAACTAACCTGTTTTCAGACGTAACTAACATGTATTTAGATTTAACTAAACTGTTTTCAGACGTAACTAACATGTGTTTAGATTTAACTAACCTGTTTTCAGACGTAACTAACATGTATTTAGATTTAACTAACCTGTTTTTAGACGTAACTAACATGTATTTAGATTTAACTAACCTGTTTTTAGACGTAACTAACATGTATTTAGATTTAACTAACCTGTTTTCAGACGTAACTAACATGTATTTAGATTTAACTAACCTGTTTTTTGATTAGCGATTGTTGTTCTTTAAAACGTCGCGTTAAGTTTTGTCTCAAATGAAGTTTCTTCGTTAAACATTCTCTGCGTTTTTCAATATTTTTCATCCCACTCGTGAAATGGACATCATCTAAAATAAAATTTGTTGGGAAGAAAATTAAACGCAACATTCACAAAATATTTCGAGATTTGTGAGAACTGATATACGTTATTTTATTTCTTATATATTTTAGACAGTGTAAAGACTGTTCTTGTTCTCTGTTGTTCATTCATCACTACCTACACTGACACACGTTATCTTATTTCTTATATATTTTAGATAGTGTAAAGACTGTTCTCGTTCTTTGTTGTTCATTTATCACTACCTACACTGACACACGTTATCTTATTTCTTATAATTTTACATAGTGTAGAGTCTGTTCTTTTTGTAAAAGATTTAAGTAAAACTAACCATTTTCTTCGTAATTGTCATGGCCTTCGACAACAGAAGAATCTTTGGGTGAAAAAGGACTGAATGAATTCTCCGTAAAGGATAACGAAGGATAACTTTCCGAATTAGAAGCGGCGTTAAGATCGGTATTGAGCGCGGTACTACAAAGAAACGGGATCACGCAGTCCATCACGTGAACAACACGAAGTAGAGCAAGAGCGCGAAACGTAAGGGACTCTGGTGGATACGAAGATATCTTTGGGTGTCTCACGAGGCTTGTTTGAGTAAATAATGTAGGAAACACAGAGATGTGTTTTAATTGACACTGAAAAAAAGATAAAAATTTGTTGAAACTTGTGTATGACGGAGGACGAAAAATATACTCGAAGGTTGAAGACACTATAACATACGCTTCTCTATGGTTGATGACAGTATAACATACGCTTCTCTATGGTTGATGACAGTATAACGTACACTTCTCTATGGTTGATGACAGTATAACATACACTTCTCTATGGTTGATGACAGTATAACGTACACTTCTCTATGGTTGATGACAGTATAACATACACTTCTCTATGGTTGATGACAGTATAACATACACTTCTCTATGGTTGATGACAGTATAACATACACTTCTCTATGGTTGATGACAGTATAAAGAACACTTCTCTATGGTTGATGACAGTATAACATACACTTCTCTATGGTTGATGACAGTATAACATACGCTTCTCTATGGTTGATGACAGTATAACGTACACTTCTCTATGGTTGATGACAGTATAACATACACTTCTCTATGGTTGATGACAGTATAAAGAACACTTCTCTATGGTTGATGACAGTATAACATACACTTCTCTATGGTTGATGACAGTATAACATACACTTCTCTATGGTTGATGACAGTATAACATACACTTCTCTATGGTTGATGACAGTATAACATACACTTCTCTATGGTTGATGACAGTATAACATACGCTTCTCTATGGTTGATGACAGTATAACATACACTTCTCTATGGTTGATGACAGTATAACGTACACTTCTCTATGGTTGATGACAGTATAACATACACTTCTCTATGGTGGATGACAGTATAAAGAACACTTCTCTATGGTTCATGACAGTATAACATACACTTCTCTATGGTTGATGACAGTATAACGTACACTTCTCTATGGTTGATGATAGTATAACATACACTTCTCTATGGTTGATGACAGTATAACATACACTTCTCTATGGTTGATGACAGTATAACATACACTTCTCTATGGTTGATGACTGTAAAACATACACTTCTCTATGGTCGATGACAGTAGAACCTACACTTCTCTATGGTTGATGACAGTATAACATACACTTCTCTATGGTTGATGACAGTATAACATACACTTCTCTATGGTTGATGACAGTATAACATACACTTCTCTATGGTTGATGACAGTATAACATACACTTCTCTATGGTTGATGACAGTATAACATACACTTCTCTATGGTTGATGACAGTATAACATACACTTCTCTATGGTTGATGACAGTATAACATACACTTCTCTATGGTTGATGACAGTATAACATACACTTCTCTATGGTTGATGACAGTATAACATACACTTCTCTATGGTTGATGACAGTATAACACACTTCTCCGTGGTTGGTGACAATACAACATACATACAAAACTGGTCCAGGACCATGAAAGACAAACAGAAAAAAATAACCAATAAAAATAAATAAACTAAATACCTTGCCATTCATTTTACTCGTTGCCCCACCATGAGAATTCACGAGAAATTGAACAAGTTCCGTATCTTCGTCACATGACCAATTGCAACTCGGCAAAACTTGAAGTTCATTGGTCAGATTCAAATCGACACTTATAGCACGCAAACCGCCTTTTCCCCCAATACACGGCAACTTCACAGTCTGCCTACTCGGATTCATCTCTAAAGTTTTCAATTGTTTTCCGAGGAAGACGAGGTTTAACGAGGAAGACTCTGATTTAGCTATACCGTAATCACGAGGAACAAATTTCAAGATGTCCTTATGTGACTTTTCGCTGTCAATAACCTCTAAATGTGAAAAATTTTCTTTAATACTCATGGTTTTCTGCGTTAAATCGAGCATATTTCCACAAGCTTCTAACTCTTCGAAGACCCTAGAAATTTCCAAATCTGTGGCACTCGAGGGTCGAGAGTATCTTGCTGCGGACTTGGACGACGCAGTCTGTGTTGAAGTATCTATTCGTTTCAGTCCATTATCGGACATTGACACAATTTTTAAGTTTGAAAGCAAATCGTTTTCTTTCGAGAGACGTTGTTTCTTACCAAAAGGTCTTTTCTTAACCTTGGTGTACAATTGAAAGCATTTCTCAACGTGTTCCTCGATGTTGTCAGTAGGACGACAAAGCGAATAGGTGAAGTTAACGACATTTTCCCATATTAAATCATCCTGAAGTTCGTTCCAAATGTTCTCACCGTGTCTTGAAAGCGCTTTAGCAGATTTCGACGTATGCGAATCTCTCGTTTTCTTGTTGAAAAAGTTTACTGTTTCGTCGACCGCATCTTGAGACGACAGGTGGAGTTTCGATGACGATTTTGAAGCATGCGCTAGTTGTGAAAGTTGAGCAAATGAAGGGACATAAGTAAATGATTTTGGAATACGACCAAAACGTGTGAGAGAATCTAAAATACAAAAGAATTGGAAAAATTGATCACTTCTGATGAAGTCTCTAGTCCAGAGTGTATAAGGACTCAAGTTCAACATCAGATCACTCCTGATGAAGACACTAGACTGAATATATAAGAACTCAAGTTTTAACATCAGATCACTCCTGCATGATGAAGACACTAGACTGGAATATATAAGAACTCAAGTTTTAACATCAGATCACTCGTGATGAAGACACTAGACTGGAATATATAAGAACTCAAGTTTTAACATCAGATCACTCCTGATGAAGACACTAGACTGGAATATATAAGAACTCAAGTTTTAACATCAGATCACTCCTGATGAAGACACTAGACTGGAGTATATAAGAACTCAAGTTTCAACATCAGATCACTCCTGATGAAGACACTAGACTGGAATATATAAGAACTCAAGTTTCAACATCAGATCACTCCTGATGAAGACACTAGACTGGAATATATAAGAACTCAAGTTTTAACATCAGATCACTCCTGATGAAGACACTAGACTGGAGTATATAAGAACTCAAGTTTTAACATCAGATCACTCCTGATGAAGACACTAGACTGGAATATATAAGAACTCAAGTTTCAACATCAGATCACTCCTGCATGATGAAGACACTAGACTGGAATATATAAAACTCAAGTTTTAACATCAGATCACTCTGATGAAGACACTAGACTGGAATATATAAGAACTCAAGTTTTAACATCAGATCACTCCCTGATGAAGACACTAGACTGGAATATATAAGAACTCAAGTTTTAACATCAGATCACTCCTGATGAAGACACTAGACTGGAATATATAAGAACTCAAGTTTTAACATCAGATCACTCCTGATGAAGACACTAGACTGGAATATATAAGAACTCAAGTTTTAACATCAGATCACTCCTGATGAAGACACTAGACTGGAGTATATAAGAACTCAAGTTTCAACATCAGATCACTCCTGATGAAGACACTAGACTGGAATATATAAGAACTCAAGTTTCAACATCAGATCACTCCTGATGAAGACACTAGACTGGAATATATAAGAACTCAAGTTTTAACATCAGATCACTCCTGATGAAGACACTAGACTGGAGTATATAAGAACTCAAGTTTTAACATCAGATCACTCCTGATGAAGACACTAGACTGGAATATATAAGAACTCAAGTTTCAACATCAGATCACTCCTGATGAAGACACTAGACTGGAATATATAAAAACTCAAGTTTTAACATCAGATCACTCCTGCATGATGAAGACACTAGACTGGAATATATAAGAACTCAAGTTTTAACATCAGATCACTCCTGATGAAGACACTAGACTGGAATATATAAGAACTCAAGTTTTAACATCAGATCACTCCTGATGAAGACACTAGACTGGAATATATAAGAACTCAAGTTTTAACATCAGATCACTCGTGATGAAGACACTAGACTGGAGTATATAAGAACTCAAGTTTTAACATCAGATCACTCGTGATGAAGACACTAGACTGGAGTATATAAGAACTCAAGTTTTAACATCAGATCACTCCTGATGAAGACACTAGACTGGAATATATAAGAACTCAAGTTTCAACATCAGATCACTCCTGATGAAGACACTAGACTGGAATATATAAGAACTCAAGTTTTAACATCAGATCACTCGTGATGAAGACACTAGACTGGAGTATATAAGAACTCAAGTTTTAACATCAGATCACTCCTGATGAAGAAACTAGACTGGAGTATATAAGGACTCCAGTTTCAACAACAGATCACTCCTGATAAGTGAAGATTTTCAATAAAGATTACCTATAACATCTTGAAGTGCTCTCATTCTTGACAAAGTTTTTCTTGCCGCCGTCTTTGGGATCAACAAACCAGGACATGGATAGACTTTAATCTACGATCAACAACATTTGTTCAAAAGTCGTAAAAAATGTACATCGATTACAATGATAGAACCTCAATATCCTTCAATACACCTAACTAACAAGGAATTTATACAGCAATGCTACAGATGTTTGTAGATGTAGATCGTCCAGGTTGGTAGAGTCCTGAGAAGGAATGTTTTTGTTGTTGTTGACTGACGTTTCGACAACCTTGGCGCTAGTCATCTTCAGAGTCAAATGACTCCTTCTCAGGACTATACCAACCTGGATGATCTACATCTACAAACATGTAACGATACGATACTCCCGGGTTCAAACCACTTACTTTAATGCTACAGATGACATAAAATAAAATTGCTTCTAGCAGCATACTCTCCTACTCATCCCCAACCCTCTGAAACAAAAGCACGGACAGAGAAACGTATAGAATATGCATATTGCACGGTCTTGCATTCCCAAGAAGAGAAATGCTAAGTTTTGAAGCCAACCAATTACACGCAGCGTTATGCTGAACTGTTCCACTTAAATAAGAAATATGGGGTCTTTGAAGCGGAAGAAATTTTTGATTTTAAAAGAAGAGAATACAGGTTTTATGTCTAAGTTTGTGCAGTAATGTCTGACCAAGTTATGTAGTTTTCATTTCGTGATTTGTAAGTAGTGGCCAATGTAAGGTAGCTTGAAGTAATGGATTCGAGGTTTGGCTTGTGTGTGGTCTTGTTCATTGTCAGTTGTATTAGAGTTAGTGTCGTTGTTACATGTTTTTATTACTTGGTTTATGAAATGCAAGGCGTATGAGTTACGTTTTAGAATGTCGATGAATTTTTTTAGGTCGAGTTGGTTTACGAATTCTCTTGTGCGGGATGTAATTCTCGCTACATTGGCAAAACCAGACGCCACCTCTCCACACGGAGTAAAGAGCATACCACTTCCGAGAAATAAGAAATATGTTATAAACTGATATTAGCAACAGTAGCGAAGAATTTTGGGAGAAATTAGAGGAAGAAGCTTCCTTTAAGACCAAAACACGAACAATCTATTGTGAGCAAAAATGTTGAAACCGACACAGTTTGACACAAGTGCATGCTAAACAACACTATAAATATTTTAAAGTAAATGGTTTGAACCCGGGAGTATCGTTACATGTTTGTAAATGTAGATCGTCCAGGTTGGTATAGTCCTGTTGTTGTTGTTGTTGACTGACGTTTCGACAACCTTAGCGTAGTCATCTTCACAGTCAAATGAGGAGTAAACGTCAGGTTAGCCGTGTTAGCCAAAGAACCAGATAACAAATACGGCTAACCTGACGTTTACTCTTCATTTGACTCTGAAGATGACTACCGCTAAGGTTGTCGAAACGTCAGTCAACAACAACAAAAACAGTCCTTCTCAGGACTATACCAACCTGGACGATCTACATTTACAAACATGTAACTATAAATATTTTCTACAATTGGCTTTAGCGAAATCGTGACAGTTTTGTCTAAGCATAATAACATACACTTCTACACACTCTTTCACTACAACCAATTTAAATACGTTGTGTTAGCTTTGTAAAATGGGACAGTTCAATAAAGTGATCTATTGTCTTTTAAAGCTTCAAATATAATTCAGGATGCGTGATCCGTGTAATATACACATCAATGAAACAAAAAGACGAATTCTTGGTAATGGAGATGAATTTTGGGAGAAATTAGAGGAAGAAGCTTACTTTAAGACCAAAACACGAACAATCTATCGTGAGAAAAATGTTGAAATCGACACAGTTTGACACAAGCGCGTTCTAACAACACTATAAATATTTTAAAGTAAATGGTTTGAACCCGGGAGTATCGTTACATGTTTGTAAATGTAGATCGTCCAGGTTGGTATAGTCCTGTTTTTGTTGTTGTTGACTGACGTTTCGACAACCTTAGCGTAGTCATCTTCACAGTCAAATGAGGAGTAAACGTCAGGTTAGCCGTGTTAGCCAAAGAACCAGATAACAAATACGGCTAACCTGACGTTTACTCTTCATTTGACTCTGAAGATGACTACCGCTAAGGTTGTCGAAACGTCAGTCAACAACAACAAAAACAGTCCTTCTCAGGACTATACCAACCTGGACGATCTACATTTACAAACATGTAACTATGAATATTTCCTACAATTGGCTTCAGCGAAATCGTGACAGTTTTGTCTAAGCACAATAACATACACTTGTACACACTCTTTCACTACAACCAATTTAAATACGTTGTGTTAGCTTTGTAAAATGGGACAGTTCAACAAAGTGATCTGTTGTCTTTTAAAGCTTCAAATATAATTTGGGATGCGTGATCCGTGTAATATACACATCAACGAAACAAAAAGACGAATTCTTTGTAATGGAGATGAACCCGAATGCAGGCTACTAAGATCAATGATTATAAATCATTGACCACACATGAAATGCAAAGAATCTGAGATCATTTTAAACAATGTAGTTTTTTAAAAAGGAGTAGCTATTTAGGTTAACTTATTGTGTTTACCTTCTTGGCTTTCTGTTTGGAGTAAGTAAATCTCAGTTTCATGAAACTTTCTCCATCTTCAGGTAAAACAAGTGATTCAAAACACACATCACTTAGAACTTTCTCGTTCGTACCGGAGTTCGGATGTCGCTCAAGTTTCAGAAGCTATAAGAAAAATCAACAAATATTGAGTTGCAATGACATTCTAACAATGCAATTACTGTGTTTCCACTATTTGCCCCCTGCTGATAATGCCCCATTTGAAAGGTAGACAAAACAAAAAAATAAAACCCAGAGCCTCTATTTCTCCTTCACCTTCTGGAAATTGATAAAGCACTGAGAAGTCAATATCTTGATGAAATCATCATGAAATACTATATGAACTCTGTTCGTTGACATAAGCATTTATTTGTTTCAAATTTACTCTTACAAAAATCAAACTAAAAATTTCAAAACAAAATGAAAATCATGTGTTTGGGTTTTTTGTTTTTGAAAATGCACTTATGCACTTACTGCATTGGGTATTTTGATAAATACAAGTTGATACTGAATGATGCAGATAGAAAATTTGTATAAAAATAGAATTAGTACCCAGCCTTGCCTTTCTAATAACCCCACACTTGAATAGCTGCACAGACAATGAAACCCTAGGGGGTTAAATAGAGGAACAATTGCACTTATATCTACAACAATAAACAACAGGTCATCAACTTACTTTATTTCCTGTAGGTACAATAACGAGACCATCTGGTTTCAGTAATTCTAATAAGAAATCAAATTTCTCCCTAGGGCACGCCGCTCCACAATATACACGGTCATACTTAAAGGCAGTCTGGTCCACGTGGAAACAATTCCCAGCAATGAATTGTGGGAAGCATATGGTCTTCTTTAGCTTGGGAAAGTAGGTGAAGAATTCTTCGCAGCAATCATTGGCATGTTCTACAAGGTTGCCACGTAGTTCTATGCCATGGTTTAACCCTTTGGATCCTACAATGTACCCAGCCAACATGGAGAAGTATCCCGTGCCACTGCCGATATTCAAAAAGGACATTCCTAGTTATGAAAGTTGGAAATTACTGATGATTACCATTGCGCACTAAATTGTGTGTGAAGTCACTAATTTCACGAGTCCTTTTTTTAAAACAAAACAAGTCATTTAGCAATTGTAAAAATTGAGTAACATGTAATGCCAAGTGCTGTTATAAGTGTTGCAATGAATCAATTAATAAAGTAAATGGTTTGAACCCGGGAGTATCGTTACATGTTTGTAAATGTAGATTGTCCAGTTTGGTATAGTCCTGAGAAGGACTGTTTTTGTTGTTGTTGACTGATGTTTCGACAACCTTAGTGGTAGTCATCTTCAGAGTCAAAAATCAATTAATGCCACACTCGCTATTCACAAATATCACATTAATAATAAGTTCATTCAGCTTATTTCGAGTAATGTTTTAGTGAAACACCTAAATTGTGTTTTTCTTTTCTAATTATAATAAGCATATCATTTAAATCAATATCTGTAAACCTTCCACTTGTTTTTTTTTATATACTATGTACGTCGGAAATAAAGTTGTTGTACAAGAAAACAAATACATCTTCAAAAAAATGGCTGAATCTCCAAAATATTGCTTAATTATGTTATCTATGGAACAAAATTGGCAATTTTCAACAAGAGAAACAGTAGCAAACCTCTGGCTTAGCCAATTAAAAATTTGCAAATCAAAAACACTTTAGAACAGTACAATTTGCAGTGTGTCTAATGATTTTTTCATGGTATTTTGAAACATGTTTATTGGTGAAATACTCTTGATCGACAAATAATGAATGGTAAATAAACCTTGTCACAATGGTAATGGTTTGAGAAGGTTAAAGAAACAATGGGCAAGAATTTACTGTTCTTAAAGAATTCAAAAAAAAGCTCCATTATTATTTACTATGAATAGTAAAGGTTACAGGCTGATACAAGACTTACGTAGAAACATGTGTTCTGTTGGCAAAAGAGACAATATTACAATATCTAACCGGGTAGATACAAACTTGAAACTTCTTAGCAAAATGGGGTTATAAGTTATACATTTTGTAGGAACAACACATAAATTAAAGAGGAAGCGCTTGTGTTGATAAATTCCCCATCGTCAGGTGATATAAAAGGGAAAATCACCCACTCATTCCAAAGTAGAAAAATATCAAACTGATTCAGTACTATTTAACTTATGTTTGTTTAAGAAACTGGGCGTTTTCATGAGAAATTTCTAGTTTTATTGCGTGTAATCTGGAATGAAATAAAGTCAAACGACCATCACGCGATTCCTTCCTGGTCATACATTGTATAAACGTATCATTATCTTGAACTGTTGTACACAGGTGAAGGGATATTTTAGCTGTATTAACATACCTTCCTTCATGTTTAAAGCTTCAAGAACTGTGGCGTACATGTGTGGTGCGCTCATGTGCAGATGATCATCCCCGCGAACTGGATAATCGGCGTACGCCTCGTCGTGTAAAAATTCCGGCAAGAACGCGGCTCTCGGCACGTTAAGAAATGCATCTTCAACTTGTTTACTCGAAATGATGGACATTTGTTTGAAATTTTTCACCATCTCTTCGTTCGAATCATTGTACGTTCGCCAAGCCATCTCTACGATAAGCACCAAAGTACCACCGAAACCCACAAAAACGACCAAGAGTGCTCAATATGTAAAGACAAAAGTCAATTTATTTCACCTATTATTTTCCAATTAAACTGCGTTTCATTTTAGCTATGCATTGTTATGATGCAATAACTACTTACAGGGGGGAGCGGGGATTTTGTTTCAAAAATGAACTCTAGAATCTAGAAATAAATATGTTTTTACTTTTAACTTAAAAAAATGCATCTATCCAATCTCCTTTCCAACTACGCTAGTCATAGAGCAGTGCAATTTTGACAAAATACATTTGAATTGTTCATTTCGAACTAGAAACTAATTCAAATGTATAAGATTCGTGCCGTACAAAAAATGACACGAACTGATTCCGTGAAAGAACGACTGCTTCCGGACATAATAAATGTACTGTTTAAAATGTACAAATGATTCTAGGGAGCTTAAAATCATATTTCTGGTACTGCACGACGAAAATGGCAAGGCAAAATGATTTTTATACACAGCTGTGATTAACTGCAAACTGCTTCATGGCAAAAGTGTTAGTGAAAGTTTACACATTCGCACAGATTAAAAATACGATTTGAAGCCCCAAGGTCTAAGTAGAGAATAGGAGTTATGCTGGCGTAGGGAGAGAAGCTTGGAGTATTGGACGATTGAGAATAACAATGGTCTCTAAAATTCCATTGGCTGTTCTGCTGGCGGAGCGTGTTCAGATGCAGTGGACTGGGCGCTAGCAGACTCAGGTTGGGTTTTTTCTGCAACCGGTTCAGCGGAGGAAACTGAAAGAAAAAAGTCACAAATTTAAGAGGTATTTCGACAAGCAGGTTTAAATTAAAATTACATTATTTACCAGTTTCTGTCGTACTCTCGGCTTCTGTTAAGTTTGAAAGTTTTGATGATTCTTCGGTATTGCTGATAAAGTAGCAAAAAATCGATTACAAAAAATTAAAATACAAAAATCAATAAGTAAATATCAATAAAGACACAAAGCAAAACAACAAAACAATCCTATGCAACAACAATACATCCGTGGCCAAATGCGGGAGTCGCAATTGAAAAGGTGATGAAATAAAACAAAAAGAAGACAATTTAATTCATACACACAGTACACAATATAAGTACAAACCTTGATGTTGCTTCCTTTTCAAGGCTTTCAGATCGAGTTTCAGTTTTTTTGCTCTCTTCGCTTGCATTGTTAGTATCACTTGTAGTAGGCGGTAAATTATTCGTCTCCCCTCTGCATAATTAAACATCATAAATACGTGTTGAATCAATATTTTATAGCTCAAAAATTACACGCAAACTCAAGAAGAGGAGAAGTGAAAATTTCAAAGAACATCTTGGACTAAAATCTCATACACCGAATTCAAAACAATTGAAATAATTTTCAAACAAAGACTTTGTTGTGTTTACAAACTTTAATATTGCTCTGAAAAGCGTATTTGTCATGGCGAATGAGAATTAAGTGGCTCTTAAAAGAACTGTTGAAAACCAAAATAAAAATAGCTGTGAAATCAAATGACACGGTTCATTTTGGCAGACTTCACATCATGTCCGCGTCTGCTTTGATGAAAACAAAAAAATATTCTATTTATAATTTAAACAAGGAAGAATGACATTAAACCAAAACGGGGAAATGACGTTCTCTGTCTTAATTAAAAACAGAATAGCAGACAATGCAAATGATGTGAAGTCTGGCGAAATGAGACGTGCTAATTGATTTTATACCTATTTTTATTTTGTTTTTCAGCAGTTCTTTTAAGGGCCTGTTTATATGGAGCCGAGTTACCCGGCTAAGCGAGTTACTCGCTCAACCTGGTTTGACAAAGTGATCTACTTATATGGCAACGGGTAACTCGGCTAGTACTTCAATGAAGTTTGGCTATGCTAACTTCGAGTAAAGGCGCGAGATTTTAAAAAGCCTCACAGTTTCGCAGCAAAAATGGAATGGGTGAATATAAAATTGAATATTATGATATGTTTATGTTCTTGTATAATGATACTGCAAGTACAAGGCTTAGTACGCATGCGTACCAACAGAGCCAATTTTCTCGCCTCGCCGAGTTACCCGGCTAATGCGTTTATATGGAAAAATTCATCTCGCCTAGCCGGGTAACTCGCTTACACAAACCGAGGTCCCGGCAAGGCGAGTTACTCGGATGTGTCATATAAACGATTCACCGGGAAATGCATTCATTTTATATAAGGACCGAGTTACCTGGCTTGGCGAGTAACTCGCTCAGCCGGGTAACTCGGCTCCATATAAAAAGGCCCTAAGAGCTACTCAATTCTCATTCACCCTTACAGATACATTGGGAGTGAAAGACGAACGCTATAACTTACGCTTGGTCTGCCTTAGCATCACCAACAACTTCGTTGTTCACAGATTTTTCTGGCGACTTTTTATCGTTATTTTGAGGCGCTTCGGCTTCGGACGAGCCATTTTTTGCGGCAGAAACGTCGCCCGTTGTCTTAGCATCTACCTTCGCTTTTGCTTCACCATTGTCGTTCCCAGTCTTTTCCGTGAATTTTGGCCGTTTAGCTGTCGGCTCGTCGTCTTTGTGAGAATTTGCATGTCGTCGACCTACGCCATCTTCCGCCTCATCTTCGGAATCCGAGTATTCCTCTGCCTTAGCAATTTCTTTGTCGGATGCAAGGACTAGAAAAGATAAAAAACACTTGAATCTCTATGTTCATCATTTGCAGTAAAGACGGGTCACTTGACGAAAGATAAATGTTACAGAGATGGAAACAACATAGGAGAGGGGTTGAATGATTTTAGTTTTTAATCATTTTTTTTACATAACGATTGTCCCAAAGCAAAATTATCATGTTGTAAACGTGTTTTGCATGGTCACAAACAATAGACAGACAATTATAATATGCTCGTTCAATAAACAGGACATTTTAGTCTTCTTTGAACAAACAAATCCCTCAAAATGATGTCAATTACGAACCGAGAATTATAAACAACAAAAAACAACACTATAGAAAGACGTCCATTGAACTGAATATAACTGGAATGCTACTTCCCGCCGAAATATGAAACCAGCATTTCAACCAGTCCCAATCCTTCTACGCACGGCCGAAAGTTTTTACCGACAGTTACTTTTATTTAAGTATAAACATGATTAGCTAAAGGTTAGCCTTTCAAGATCTATGTTCAACCGAAAGTTCCTTATTTAAATTCCGTAACCAAGGCAACGGCGAGTAATCTAACATAGACCTATGTGCTTTCAACAGCTTGTTCGTGGCCCTATAGCGTTAAGATGATAAGAAATATTTTCATAGTATCTTACTGCTGATTCTGCTGTCTGCTTTACGATCCTCATCGTCATCTTCAGCCTCGCTATCGTTGCCCATGCCATGATCATCGGGTATGCCTAGGAAGAAATTGATTCATTCTAGTGAAAAGCTATCCACAATGATCTTTTTTATCCTTAATTACACACACGACACACTGACGTAACACCATACCACTCAAGAGTAAAGGATGTTCTCCATCGCGTTATTCATTAAACTGAAACTATAATCTTCCAAAATTGTAGAACGCACTCCATAATTTTTCATTTTTCCATGTGGTAGTATTGCATGCACTATTACATGAGCGAAAACATGTCTTTCTTACAGAATATCCTATATCCCACGAAATAAAGCGCATGGTCGGTGTATAAATAATCTTTGAACACATGCTCTCAGTTTAGTACAAAATAAATATTAGAGCCCAACAAATAATTTTGAACACAGTCATAAACGATTTGGTTTTTTTTAATAAATTTCACCAAACCAAATTGTTTATGACTATGTTCAAAATTATTTGTTGGGCTCTAATATTTATTTTGAGAATCCGTTTCCCGCCTGGCACCTCATTGGCAACAAATGAAAGAAAAGTGTATTGTGAGTGATTATACATACATCAATCAACTAAATGATTTCACTTACAATTTACACATATTTCCATGTTTTGTACAGACATACATACATACGAAAGACGTATACAAAAACACATTCCATCCACGTGAAATACTTACGTTGCATTTGAACTCCGGGAGCGTGTGGTATCATTCGTAAATTTTCAAATAACCTCTGTCTACAATGATCAAAATACGGAAGTTTTTGTAGAATTGCCGAGTAGGAGTTAGTGATTTTATACATACAACTCATGATTTCAAGCCTATGGTGGCATATGCAACCTAACATATTCATGTCTAGGGAATCATCAAGGATTCTCACTGCGCGTGCGTCGGTTCCGTACTGGATTTTCCAGTTCAATGACAGAGGGGGAGGGGGTTATTTAACAAAAACGATAATACTAAATTTTTAGACTCTGGAGCCTCTTGATTGTCGAGATGAAAACTCTTTCCATCAAATGTCTTAAGTGAGTTTTGAATTATACAATCACAAAAACGCAATGACGTCACTTTATGTTAAACCATCTATAGTAAAACTAACCAAAATAATGACGTCACTTTATGTTAACCATCAATAGTAAAACTAACCAAAATAATGACGTCACTTTATGTTAACCATCAATAGTAAAACTAACCAAAATAATAACGTCACTTTATGTTAACCCATCTATAGTAAAACTAACCAAAATAATGACGTCACTTTATGCTAACCATCAATAGTAAAAATAACCAAAATAATGACGTCACTTTATGTTAACCCATCTATAGTAAAACTAACCAAAATAATGACGTCACTTTATGTTAACCCATCTATAGTAAAACTAACCAAAATAATGACGTCACTTTATGTTAACCATCAATAGTAAAAATAACCAAAATAATGACGTCACTTTATGTTAACCATCAATAGCAAAACTAACCAAAATAATGACGTCACTTTATGTCAACCATCTATAGTAAAACCCAACATGTACGGTGACGTCACACCACAAATCAGCAAATCAAAAACTTACTTTGTCCTCGATAGATATTCTTGTTGATTTGAGTTTGGCATGTTCGACGGACTTATATGAAGTTTAAAGTCAGGTCCAAAATATTCAAAATAATCGTTGTAGGGAAGTTCTAAAACGAGAAAGAAAACCATTAAAATTTTGAAGACTTCCATCATACATTTTTGTATTTCATACGATATTAAACATTTTACAAATCATTAAAATACAATATTTTCATCCTTAGCAGACCCTATGGGTAACTTCATCACGTGATGTGCACGTGATGCATTCGATGTCGAGCCTACGTACCGTTCGCGATATCAAGATCCAAAGCAACTGACGTTTCGTAAGTCCAACATCGTGCAACGTTACGTATGGTGTAACCGCCCCCTCCCAGCATCAATAGCGGAATGTTAAACTTCTTCACGAACGATACACATTGCGCATGACCTAAACAAAGGTATGACGTTTAATTTCGACCTCAGTCTCGCTGAACTGCAATAAAACTGGAATGCTAACTCTAATGCTAGCCTCCATTCTGAAGCCAGTTACGATGGATTTATAACTGAGTTTTCAGGTTCATAATTGAAACTCGTGCAGTAAAACTTTTCGTGGCAATTTATGCTAAGGCATTATTTGTATATCGTTGCTGATTTTCTGAAATAACATCGCGGACTTCTCAAAACTCAGAAAAACAAACTTCATTTTCGGCTTCAAAGATGGCGGCGTAGTTGGCGTTCCAGTTGATATCAGAGGTCACTGGTGCCCTATTTGAAAGCCCAGTTTTATATCCAACTTGGACATAACTGATTTAAGAAACTAGAAGTACACTTCAAATTCTATGAACAAATTTAATATCTCTTTTCCCATTATGTTAAAAACGAAACAACAAAGGAACACACTAAAAATTTGTCATACAGGGGGATCATGACGAGCATTTTTCTCATTGAGGATCGGTTAAAACTCAAGTATACACAACGAAACCTTTTAGAGATAAATTGAAGCAGCCAAGTCTATCGCCTGCCAAAGAATCTGCACCGCACTGAAGAACGACGGCATTTGGTTGATATGTTTCCATGACTTTAGTGATAATCTAAAATAAGAAAAGAAAACATTGCAGGAAGTTTGTTGAAATGTTTGATTAAGAAATGTTTTTGTCGGGTCACCGGGGAAAAAATCCTTTTCGTGGTCTTTTTTGTGCACTTTACCCAGAATAACCCAAACTCGTACGAGAATATGAAAAACGAGACGATAAAAATGTAAAAGGTGTTTGTTTCATACTAAGACTTGGTGTATGAAAGTAACTCCAAATCCACTCAAAGAAACAAATGTTGATCTACCACCATGTTAAACATTACTCGTCAAGAATTTCACACGAGAATATTTCGGTATCTGCCAATAACTGGCAGATACGTACATTGACACGTGGTGGATTTCTTTCTGTGTGTAATTATGAAAATTTGAAAGTTTTTTTTACAAACATGCATGGAACACGACTTACCGGTTTAAAAATTTGTTCGTAAGATTCGTCATCGATGCCGTCTCGTAAAGGAAAATTGACAGCGTAATACTTGCCTTTGCCTGCCCCAATGTCCTAAAAGGATAAAGACGGGTGCTAATGGATATGATACCGATGTTCTTTACAGATAGAGAGGGGTGTTAATGGATATGAAACTGATGTCCTTAAGAGGCAGAGAAGGTGGTAAATGGTATGATACTGATGTCTTTTAAAGGCAGAAAGGGGTGCTAATGGCTCTGAAACTGATGTCTTTAGAAGGCAGCGAGGAGTGTTTAGGTGTTAATGAATGTGATCTTGATGTCCTTTAGAGGCAGAGAGGGTGACAATAGATCTGAAACTGATGTCTTTAGAAGGAAGAGAGGGGTGTTTAGGTGTTTATGAATATGATCTTGATGTCCTTTACAGGCAGAGAAGGTGACAATGGATATGAAACTGTTGCCGTTTAGAGGCAGAGGTAGACTCTAATTCAGCGTAGCCATATATGCATATATTTTACTAGAGTTGATCAGATAAGCTTAGCCTCTCCAATCTGCTTTATATAATTGCAAAGTTCACAACAGAGAGCTCGTCCGACTAAATATGGTTAAAAAATTGCATAAATGGTCACACTGCGGTCATTATAGATACACAGATGGATATTAATGAATGTAATAAGATAAGCGAGGGATATAAATCATGTCAATCATCTGGACATAAAAATAGACGAAACCTGGACAGTAGGCAGACTTGGTTCTTAACACCGAAACCGTCACGAAAAAAAAATCGGTCTTGAAAAATAATTCCTTTCCGTTTAGGTTTAGAAGATTCGTATTTGAACTTTGTTATCTTTCCGTAAACGTTCTTTCTCTTGACAGGACAAATTAAATTGACGTTTTTTGCCTTTGTGCGAGCAGCTGTTAATTTGGATAGATCTTTAAAACAGAGTCTTTGTCGTGGTGACAAATTTGAATATCGTCTTAAAGAAAGCAATTGCCAAGGGGAATGGACTGAAACCAAACAAAACCACGAAACCCAAAATAAAAACGAGAAAAAATCAAAAGTTCTGAAAAGAACTGTTTTAGAAATTTAAGACACTATGCATTTCGGCAGACAACTCGTCAGGTGTCAACGTCTGCTATCTGTTAAGGATGAATCAACTTGTAAATATGATTAGTTCGACGATGACTCATTCAGCATGGGAGGTGAGTCATCGTCAAAATAAAGCTAATTTCAAATGAACTGCTTCTGTCGACAAAGGACCGACGGATAAGCAGTCATTATTAAGCTTAATGATTCGGTCCTTTGTCGACAGAAGCAATTCATTTTCAAAAGTTCATTTTCTCGACAAAGGACCGAAGAATAAACAGTCATTATTAAGCTTAAGGATCCGGTCCTTTGTCGACAGAATCAATTCATTTTGAAATTAGCTTTATTTTGACGATGACTCACCTCCCTGCTGGATGAGTCATCATCAAAACCAATCATATATTTACAAGTTGATTCATCCTTAACAGATAGCAGACGTTGAAACCTGACGAGTTGTCTGCCGAAATGCATAGTGTCTTAAATTTCTAAAACAGTTCTTTTCAGAACTTTCAGATTGATACTCTTAGGGGCTGTTTGCATGAGCCCGACAAGCCGGGCTACTTTTAAGCCCGTCTTTACATGGCAATAATCGCTCGAAAAGTCACCGGTTGTGTTTGGTGCGAAAATTAAAAAATCCCACAGGCGAACATTTCTGCACTTATAACGATTCTTGTATTAGTTGTTTTTGTTTTTTTGATCGTTTTCATTTAAATGTAAGGCTTTTTGAACATCAATATATTAAAACATACATTTCTCCGACGCCATTACACAAAAGGACGAAGAATGACCGTAGCTAGCTACCATGGTAATTATAGTTTTAGCCCGGTCAGACATGTTTACATGGGAAAAGTTACCCCGTTTAAACGGGCTCCCCGGCTAACTCAAACGGGATCTCGGCCAACCGGGCTCATGTAACCTGAATTTTGTTTTATTCGAAAGTTCTTAAAAGGCCGGTCGCCCCCGGCTACTTCTCTTAGCACGACTAGCTGGGCTCATGTAAACAGCCCCTTATTCAAAGCAGTTCTTTTCAGAACTCTAAATTTTTTCTGTTTTATCTTGGGTTTCGTGGTTTCTATTTGGTTTCAGTCGATTTACCATGGCATTTGCTTTCTTAAAGGCGAGATAGATCTTTTCTCATTGAAATGATTTTTGGACGAAAGTGTGAACAATATGCGACAATATAATACAATCACAATTTCTCCGTTTCAAAGATCTGATGGTCACCTAAGGATGTGTGGTGTGTATGAGGGATATGTAAGGATATAGGAGATATGCTCACCCTAATATCTCCAGTACCAGGAAAATATTCGCCATATTTGTGAAATGACACGGTCATAACGCGATCTGTTGTGTAAAATGCTTCCTCTACACCATCGCCGTGATGAATGTCAATGTCTATATACAAAACTCTTTGGTGATATCTAGGCAATAAAAGAAAAATTACAAACACATCAGAGGTCGACTAGAGGTCGATTGACGAAGTATTAATTGAGTCCATATTTGATATGTTTTCATCGAGGACTAGAGGGCATAATACAACAAACTATGGATACAACAAGAAGCCTTCCAGGCGTTCACTCTGGCTATCTGATCTTTGGTCGATAATTATGCGCTACTTAAAACTCAACAGCAGTTTTACAAGGAAATATACCCAAAGATAGCAGATAGCAAAATTTAGGCCGCCTTTAACACGAAAAGGAACAATTTTAAAAATGAATAATTGCGTTTATAACTAGAACACGCTCGCACGGTCACATCACGATCTATAAACGCGATCAACTTTCGCTTTTCCAGCACGTGGTATGAATGACACACACGCGTGTTGAACACGCAATAGGTCATGAATATTAATGTCTTTCTAGCGTGGTAGCATGAGTAGTTAACGACTTAATTCAAATAACAAAACATCAACCTGTAATAAAGTAAATGGTTTGAACACGGGAGTATTGTTACATGTTTCTAGATGTAGATTGTCCAGGTTAGTAGAGTCTTGAGGAAGGACTGTTGGTGTTGATGTTGACTGACGTTTCGACAACCTTAGCGGTAGTCATCTGCAGAGTCATCTTTTTGACTGTGAAGATGACTACCTCTAAGGTTGTCAAAACGTCAGTCAACAACAACAAAAACAGTCCTTCTCAGGACTCTACCAACCTGGACGATCTACATCTACAAACATAACAAAACATCAATCTGATTGATTAGATTCAACATGGATAATCACAAGTGAATTTCTACAATCCTGAGACAATTTCCCTTGAATCAAAGCCTTTAACTATTTCTATCGTTATTTACCTCATTAAACTCCAATGAAGAATCAAAGTCCTACCTTAATAGCTCCAAGATGGCCAGAACAATATCGTTCACATAACAAAAACCTGATGCTTCAGATTTCTTCGCGTGATGCAGGCCTCCCGCCCAATTTATTGCAATGTCAGTCTGTTGTTTGTTTAGCTTCACAGCTCCAGCTAAAAATATGCAAACACACGGGGGGTGGGTGATGAAATAAAAATCTCCCGGTGGGGGGAGTTGTGGGTACATTTTATCTCCTTACCAATTGAGCCTCCGGTTGATAACTGGCAGAATTCGAAAAGACCATCAAATACTGGACAATCTTCGCCCACATTGACTACAAATAAATGAATCACGTGTTCAATCACGTGTTTAATCAATGTAATTATAATGCTGCACAAATGAGGTACAGGGAAGGGGGAATGAACACTCTTTTTTGTGGGGGGTGAATGTTGCTGAACATAGCAGTACAAGGAAAGGGGGGGTTAACACTCTTTTCTGTGGGGGGTACATGTTGTTCAACATATATGGTACAGGGAAGAGGGGAGTGATGACGAACTCATCTTTTGCATCCAGCAGGGGGGGAGAAATAATTATGCCCAAAGTGAATAAGATAAGACAAACATAAACACAGGTTGACAGCAGAATACAAAATCCTTAGCACAACCACATTCCAAGAACGCACCGAGCAATGTATTGAAATCAACACCTCTAAACTTATGAACAGTTCGACACATTCATGAAATTCATAGTCAGTTGTTCTATGGTCAATTCTACCCCAAAATTAATTCTAATGCCTTTTCCAAACCATCTGAATTTCAAGTTAAAAGGAAGCTCTTGATAACTACATCAGAGCCTAGCACAGCCTGCTAACAAGTTTGGTGATGCTCTTTAAATTTCAGATTATAAACGTATATTTCTTCAGTAGAATCATACTAGTATTATGTTGCAAATGCTTTAATCCAATTGTCTATTCCATTAAAGATTGGCTAAATGCTTTAATCTCATTGGCTACTCCACTACAGAGTGGCTAAATGCTTTAATATGATTGGCTACTCCATCAAAAAATGCTGCAAACCTTGCTGTCTAACATTTTACCTATATATGTGATGCTGAACTTGATTGTTTACTTCAGAAAGCAATTCTAAAGAAGACTAAACTTGCCATTAACTACAACACTAAGATATTTAAAGGTAAAATGAAGAAAAATCTAATTAAAATAACAAAATATGCATTGAGCAAGAGTCGTTAACCTTTTAATAAAAAGCAATATCAACAACAGCAATGGATACTAGTGTGATTCAACTAAAGCAATTTGATTACTCGCTCACCATTTCCCTAATAGAAATTTTGAGCTCGAAATCTAATTGTTAAACAGAAATTTGTTGTTGACTGTGACTGAGCACTGAAACATTTACATGGTGCAACTTATCTTGAGAACTAGCTACGCAAATGAAACACATATGCAACAATGAAACTTACATCTTTGCATTTGTTTTGTGTATTCACTCATGTTGTCTGGACGTATTGTCTTCAAAAACTTCACATAATCATCTGAATGATATTTTGTCATCTCGTCAAGGTTTGCCTTGTGGGGTCGCTGTGAAAAAAATTCCCACACAGAATGAAAAATCATATGAAAGATTGAAAATAATGATATGCTTAGAGAAGTCTTCGAACATAAAAAAGTTCATCAGAATTATGGATATGAAAACAAATATCCATTCAGATCACCACATATATGCAAAGTGGTACTAGTTAAGATGAAACAAATATCCATCCAGATCCCCTCATATATGCAAAGTGGTACTAGTTAAGATGAAACAAATATCCATCCAGATCCCCACATATATGCAAAGTGGTACTAGTTAAGATGAAACAAATATCCATCCAGATCCCCATATACATGCAAAGTGGTACTAGTTAAGATGAAACAAATATCCATTCAGATCCCCATATACATGCAAAGTGGTACTAGTTAAGATGAAAATAAATATCCATTCAAATCCCCACATATATGCAAAGTGGTACTAGTTAAGATGAAAATAAATATCCATTCAGATCCCCATATATATGCAAAGTGGTACTAGTTAAGATGAAACAAATATCCATTCAGATCCCCATATACATGCAAAGTGGTACTAGTTAAGATGAAACAAATATCCATTCAGATCCCCATATACATGCAAAGTGGTACTAGTTAAGATGAAAACAAATATCCATTCAGATTCCCACATATTTGCAAAGTGGTACTAGTTAAGATGAAAATAAATATCCATTCAAATCCCCACATACATGCAAAGTGGTACTAGTTAAGATGAAAACAAATATCCATTCAGAACACTGTTCAGCAAAGTTACAGTATTGTTGGTTATGCTGGAAAGATAATTTCCAGCAAATTAAATTTTACTGAAAACTTAACCCGACCTATTATCAGACATTTAAAGTCTTTCATTACAAATTTCAAGAATAGTGAAATGAAATTTTTTGTTCTTCATGAACATTTTACAACATCATGTTTCTGAAGTTTTTGAGATGACAACAGTATGACTATTGTCTGGTAAAGGGTGAACGAATAACCTAACTGTTACACGAAAGAAAAATTTAATTTTAAAACTCATCTCTAGACCAAAACAGAAGCGAAACTAAAGTCTCGCTGTCACTTCTCTAAGTGAAAATACTGCTGTAACATTTGAAACAATAATAAGATTGAATCGCCAAAGATCATTTACTATAACACAGGTAGCCCACTACGATACTACCTAATGGATATCTGTGGTACCCATATCGAGTAAACTCACATAAATCTCCATTTTTCTGTACAATCCATAGTTTAGGAGTAAATTGTGAGTCATACGTATACGATGTGGTTTCATAGGATGCCCTTGGCCATAATAATAGTTCCCAACATCACCTTAAACAAAGATAAAAAATCGCATGACACACAATAACAACAGCGGCATTCAAAAAGCAAAGTTTTCCAATGCTTAACGGAAATCCTTCTCAAAGTACACAAACAATGTATTCTACATTAGATGAGAAACAATGCTCGAAGAACAACGTACCATCATAATAATAACAAACTCTTTTCTTTCCAGCGGGATAAATATTCGCCATGCTTCTGTCTTGGAGTCAATGCTGTTCAAAACTTGAAACGTTCCAAAACGTCATCACGTGATCAAAATTTCCCATTTCGACCAATTGCAGCTCAGAATTTCGACATAGCTAACCCAAGTATTTCCTTAGCGGAAAACCAAAAGAAACATGATTGGTTTTAAATCTATTTTCAACGACAACTGCAACAAGAGAGCTATGGACTATAGAGTAGCGTGATACTAACTTGTTTTTTAACGTTCTGCTCAAATATTTTCTTTTCCACATATGCATTTCATTGACTTCATTCATTGTTTAGAACTTTAGAGGCAAATATAAGAGCGTAACTGGTTCCTGGTAAACGATTAACACGTGACCATTTTTGACTAATTGCGTCAAACACAAATAGTCGTTTAATGATTGGTTAAATGACTATTTGCATTCGCTGGTTTTTCCCGCCCCATGTTTGAAAATATTTCTTCATGACAAAGTCTTTGTCGTAAGTGGACTATAAGTATTATGTAAAATTTTATACTATATAAAAATCTTTTAAGATTTATAATATGGATGTGAGTCTTGTCTCGTACATGATTGTTTATTTTGATATTTTTGAGAAAGTCGTTCACGACCTCAACAAAGATGTAGACGACCTTCGAAATGGCAACGCTACAGTCTACAGTAGTATCTTTTATTACACAAGAAAGGAATAAAATCAACAGCTAATCTACGTGTTCTCCTAATTTAATTCTAACACTACACAGTAGATACCTTAATTAGTGTTCCCCGCTTAGTAGTGAGCTTGAGGCACTTCAGCACTCGAGCCTTGTTGGGTGCAAACAATTTTTTATTGTGAAGAATTCCGTTCAAGAATAAAGAAAAACGATGATTCTAATGTATTTTTTACTCGTCAATTTTACTGATGGAAGAAAGGGGAGAGGAGAGAAGAAGATAGGAGAGAAGAGGCAGGATAGGAGAGGTGAGGAGAGGAGAGGAGAGGTGAGGAGAGGAGAGGAAATGAGAGGAGGGGAGAATGCGCTGTATATGCTACACTAAGGTAGGCAGTATTAACTCGTCACAATATAAATGAAAGTCTTTTAAACAAAATTTCAAATTTTACATCGTTGCTCTATTCGATGGGTTCAAAGGAGTTTGTTGTCAATGAGCAATAATTGAAAATGGGATTTATTTTGACTTTATATTCATAGACTATTTTGCAGTATGAATTCATACCCACTGCATATGTATGAATATATTTTAAAAAATTGATATCATTTGGAGATGTGATGTTGAATTACTCAAACAACCAAAACATAGTCATTTATTGTTAATCTCATAAGTTGACTAATATCAAGCTACCATAGCAAATTTATTTTGTGATTAGTAAAACCAAACTATTGAAGCATCAAACAAAACATTAACATATCAAGAAAATTCTTTATTAGAATGCTCTACATGGTAATGGCATATGCAACTAAATACTAAAAGTTTCAATAAGCTGATGGCAGTTGTCAAAAAAAAAGATAATTTGTGAAATTGTAAAGCAAAGGTAGTTAATGGATTGATGCATTTATCTTTGTGAGCAATCCCATATGTTTTTGCCCTAAAATTCATTGCAAATGCTACTGTTACTATTTTAGATTTTAATTTTATATCTGTTCAATAGCCTAATGGAACATTCTTTAAAAGTTTAATTAGTAGAAAACTGTTGATTTCTGGTGAAAAATACAATAGCTGTCTTTCTAACTGTATTCCACTTCCCCTTCTTATTAATGTGACTGTCAATGAAATTTGAATATTATATGAATTTGTAGAGCTGTGATGTTATATGTCAGTTTCTCTGTTAGTCTTCTTGCTTAGATGACAAATCATATATAGCTTTTCCAGACAATAAGCCAATTAAGTTTTACTAAAAACAGTTTACAAAAATATGTACAGTAGGTTGATGTTTAGTAAAATGTTGAGGTGTATTTACTCTAAATGCAAATTTTTGGAATAATAGACTTACGTTTCTGTTTGCTGATCATTAAAAGTGAAACAAAATTTTGAACTGACAAAGAAAATTTTTTGTAAGACAAAATTTTGCTGCTGGTGTTTAGTATAGCTGGATCCGCCCCTGGAAGCAACTACATCTTAACTATATCTTCCATATATTAAACAAAATCTTTCAGCATACCACCTGTCAACTCAACGAAACTTTGTCGAACGCAATTGAAATTCGCTCGTAAAGTGTCTTCATCAGTCTTCATTTGACGGCCGCCATACTTTATCCATTTACGAAAGTATCATAAATCTTACTTTGCTTACGTGACATACAGACAGGGGGAGCCACTGACTGACTCTTAAGCTAAGGCTTCGTTCATTTATTCACTGAAAGGTGCCAATATATAGTTTGACAATTGAGAAATATCAACACAGTTAGTGTCAAAAAATCATAAAATAGCATCACAAGTTGCAGTATTACGAACAGAGAAACACTTCAAAAAAAGATTGCCTAATTTCATTGTGCCGTGTTACAATGTGGACACCGTAACCTTTATTTAATGTTGTAATCAATTGTAATGTAAACGTAGTGTAACTGTAACTTGTGTCGAAAGTATAAGAACCAGATAAAATTAAAGTGAAATTAAACAGCAAATAGACAATAAAAGAGTTCGACATTGTCTTTAAAAATAAGGCCAAACAAGGTTTTCCAAGCTGCTGTTTGGTTACCCCAAAATAGCGATCCAATCATAAAAAAGATTTAAAAGAAGCATTCATATTTGATGAATTCTAGTTAGGTGACTTAGATAATAGCTGTCCACGAACATAATTAAGTAACGGCTGAACTGCATAAGAAAAAAATAAATGCCAAACCAAATACCATTCAAAAAAACTAAAATGATAATGAGTATAAATAGAGTTAAGATCAAGTACCCACAGATATCTGGAATGCAAATGTTAGTGACAGAAGGCTTCTCAAAAACAGTACACAAGATTGTATTTTCAGTGATCCACCAGCTCGACCTTCATATATCTCGATACTCTATTCAACGTTATTCAGTAATTGTTTAATATTACCTGCAACATAAATAGTTCAAAATGTCATAAAAAAAACCTAGACACATGTACGCAATCGCGTACGTATTCTTAGCTCGCGCAAGCAATTTTTTCCTTAAAATTGAAAAAATGATGTGTGTGAAAGTTCGTTCTGTATTAAAAATAAAAAGCTCACCAAACTCTTTTACAAAGTTATTCATGATTGGGTTGCAGTTGATGACCAATCGTACATGCAATCGATGCAAACTAATAGTGGACTGTGGAGTCTACTAAATTTCCGTGTCGGTCTGTGATATGATACTTGAATCAACCAATGACATTCACAAGTGTAAGTGTAATCTTTCAAGCATTTTATTGAGACATTGAACATCGGCAGCGCTGCATAGAGAAATACTTCATTTCGAATATGGCTTTACTAACGGTGTTTAGCAGTTGGTTAATGCAAATTCCTTTACTAATGTGCTGTCTTTTTCTGACCTGGAAGATCCTGAAGTACCTAACTTTAAAAGAACCTGAGATTCGAAACGGTAAAAGCAGACGGCTTGATTTTCTAGAAAATGTGAGTGAACAGTTATCATATTCATTAAATGGTGTTGGAAATATTGCTTGCGTTATATCTCTTAAGTCGAAGGAAAGCCTTCCCGTTCAACATATTCATGATGCTTTGGTTGTGTTAGTTAAACGTCAGCCAATGCTACGAGCTGTAATACATACCAAGGCTGACGGCCAACAATACTTTGAAGTCAAAAGCATTGAGGAAACTGTTCCGCTATTTGACATCTCGAAATCTGATGCTAAGATTTCTGAATGGCAAGAACTAATATACAAGCACACTTCAAATGTTCATAAATTTATCTTGCCATGGAAAGCTGTCGTACTTCAGGAAGAATTTGATGCAACATCACAAAGTATTCAAACATGATATTGTTCTCTCTAAAACATGCGTGTTTGGATGGTGTATCTGCTGTTAAGTTTGTTGAACAGTTTATGAACTGCATGAATGAGATATCGAGTCGTGTCACCAATGCCGACATGCACACGATAAGTTTTCCGTTACTGCCCAGTGGACACGATCTTGTCACGCAAAAAAAAATTGGTCATTCTATATTTCGATCCATGGTTACTATTTTCGGACTTCGACCGGTATTAGATTTTTTGTTGGGAAAAATGATTTCTTACGTACTCAAAAAGAAGGCTATCAATCCATATTACATACGATACCCACATCTTCAGTCTGCAGAAATACGCCCAGAATCACAACCATGTCTAAATTTAAAAGCATTTTCTATGGAGGAAACTAAGTCGATTGTTGATGCCTGCAGAGCTAACGGCTGTACGGTTACTGGAGCAATAACAGCTGCTGTACATCTGGCGTTCTACGACTTGATTGGTGAAAAAGATGAAGAGAAAACGAAGTTGGAAACCTTTTATCCGTTAAATAATCGATCGTACGGTGATCCAAAGGCACCAGAAGAGTATCTTGGCTATTTTGTCTATTTTCTCTCCAAATACATGAAGTATCCCCGTTGCTCACAAGGAGACTTTTGGATGATGGCTAAAGAAAGCACGGTTCAATTAAAACAGACTGTGAGTAAGAAAGCATTTATGACAGAAATGTCGTTGATGAGTGTTCTTGATCCAAAACTGCTACTTGACAGTTATTGTGATGAAAGTGCTTTCTTGAAATCCATAACCAATGTCATTTCAAGTTATGGTGTCTTTAATTCTTACAATTCACAGGCATCTCAAATGACCTACAGCTTGGAAAATTGTTACGTACTGCCCATTGTCCGTGGAAATAACACCATGTTTACACACTTTGTGTACACCATTAATGATAAACTGACTTGGATGATAATATCAGACGTACACATTCCAAGTGCCCATGCTGGACAATTCAGTAATTACAGTTTTAACATATTACTCAATAACTGCTCTGTTGTAGAAAAAAGTATGTAGAATCATGTTTCGATTTTGTCAAGTAGAACGTTTACACGTGTTTAACAACAGGGGTGTTTACGGGTGAGGGGGAGAGGTAAATGGACAGGGACAGTTCTTTTTTTAAAATTATATGTCAAGTTTAGTACCCTGAAATCCCTCACTAGCAAGGTAGTATAGCTAAAATGTTAATTGGGAGATGTTTGTTCATACATTCAATTGTGTCCGACATGTTTTTTTGAAAGTAATTCAGCTTCCTAAAGAGCTCACAGCTGAATACACAAATAGACACTCCCAATCAACATTCTAGTTAAGGCCCTGTTCATTAGTGATAACGTAACATCAGTGAGCCCCCCTCCCCTCCATAATGACAAAATTTTGAAAATGCACCTCTGTGTACAACAATACACGTATGATGTTTTTTTGTTTGATTTAATAAATTAAATGTTTTTATAAAGTTTTTATCAATTCTTCTTTTGTCTTTTGACAAAAGTTCTATAATCTTTTCTATATCTGGATTAATGTCCTGATGAATATACAACAATGCAAGACCATTTAACCTGTCAGCAACCATAGTACTTCTTGTATAGTTCTTTAATCTTCGCAAAGCAGAGAACGACCTCTCACACTCACAAGAAGTGACTGGAATAGTACTTAAGATCTTTAACAATACTTTTATGTTCTCAAAACCTGGAAAATTTACCTGTGAGATATACCATATGGATGAGCCTTTGTTGTCATGGTTGTCTCAGTAGGACCAGAAGGTGTAAACCTCAACTTTGTTTGTATACTAGCCTTTTTAGCTTGTGACAAGTGACTACTTCCCTTCTTTTAGTTCCCTTCCCACTAAGTATCAAAGGCACATAATGATTGTGTTTGACTGCAGAACTTTGCTTGAGGAGCTAAACCTTCAAAGCAAAACAAAACTGGCAAATAATTACTAGTGGAAGCACAAGCCGAAGATAGAATTCAAGGTTCAATTCTTTGGTTAAATAATAAATTCCCTTTATAAGCACTAGAGTATATGTCAGGATAATAAGAAAATATGCTACAGGATGTAACTGAAGAGAGTGCCAACAAACAAACCCAGTCAATGCCATATCTTATGCATTTAGCACAGCTTCTGCCCTGACCAGTTCAGCAACAGAACAACCACTTCCAGCATTATCAATAGCTTCAAAAGAGACTGACATGGCCACCATTATTGAAATTTACAATAATGTTATGTAAATTTCAAATATCATGCTTCAGTTCATTTTTGTACATCTTATATTAAGTATATTATTGAACACATCAAGAAATAAATCAATAGAAACCTTTTAAATATGATCGAAATTCGAAAATTTGTTTTGTTTTGAATCACATACATAAACCACAAATGACAAATGCATCGGGCATCACATCAAGTCAATTTATATTTGCTTATATATTCTTGTGTTAGCATGCATGCATAACATGTCATAAGTTTTCTAACCTTAAGGCAACCAAATTTGTGATCTTTGTCTTGGCACTCTGCGGTATGTAAAATTCGGCATTGATATTTCGGAAAATATCAACACCGAGACGATCCAACAAATTATCGTTGGTAACAATGCTGTTGACTTTCAGGCAATCCAACATCTCTCCGTAGAGTTGAGCCATAAAAGTCTCATCTTTCCTCGTAAAAGCTTCGACTCGATCAGTAAAAGATGCCATGCTTCTAATTAATATTGTTGGTTTTTAAGCTCAAAGATAAAACCTCGGCTATCAACAATCTCAATTTGTGCTAAATTTCGCACAACACCGCTTGAACATTTCCCGCAAAAACGGCGGCTCGTTAGTCGTCAGCGCAACGGCAATAAACCAATCAAGAGACAGATTTTAGTCTCCAAATTCAGCACAATTTTAGGCGTGCTGACTCGTGGGGTTAGCTATGGGTATTTCTCCCGCTAGTGAATTCAAGTATTTTAGCCACTTGATCCCTTAATCCGATGCTTAATCCAGGTCTTGGAAACAATAACATTGCTCAGTGAATGCACGTTGTTGCACAATTTTCTCATAATACTATCCCTAACCCTGACAATAGTTTATTTTTCTAATGCTTTCGTTGTGAGGACACAAAAAATTTAATTGATTTTAGGATAAAGAATTCATGATCATTATCCACACAACGAAACAACACCATACCGAGACGAGATTCGAACCGGCAAATGACGCATAGAAAAAATCTCTTGGTTCGTTCGACCTAACGAGCCTCGTTCCACATGAAAAATTGTTTTTATTATTATTAAGGGGATTTAAAATTTGATTAATTGGCTGCTGTGCAGAATTTAATTACATGAATGTGACGTAGTTTGAAACCGTGAGATGACGGTGCGGAGAGGGTAGAGGGAGAGGAGGAGGAGAGGAGACCTGGAGGGAAAGGAGAGGAGACGAGAGGAAGGAGAGCGAGGGAGGAGGAAAGAGAGAGAGGAATGAAGGAGAGGAGGAGAGGAATGAGGAGAGAGGAGAGAGAAGGAGAGGAAAGGAGAGGAGAAGAGGAGAGGAAAGGAGAGGAGGAGAGAGGATAGAAAAAAAAGGAAGAGGAGATCATTGTCATCAAAAAAATTTCAGTGCTAATTGTCACGCAAGCTCCAATACGAAGACTAACATTAACAATATCAAACTAACACCAGCACTAAGACTAACATTGACACTAAGACTAACACCAACACCAACACTAACACCAACACTAAGACTAACACCAACACTAACACTAACACCAACACTAACACTAACACCAACACTAAGACTAACACCAACACTAAGACTAACACCAAGACTAAGAAACACCGACACTAAGACTAACACCAAGACTAAGAAACACCAACACTAACACTAACACCAATACTAAGACTAACACCAAGACTAAGAAACACTAGCACCAAGACTAACACCAGCATTAACAAACTAACACCAACATTAAGACCAGCACTAGCACTAACACTAATACTAAAACTAACATCAACACCAACACCAATATTACCATAGTTTTCAAACAAAGTGGTGATTATATGAGGATTCGATTTTGAGACATTTCTATACTCATGTTTCAAACACAACAGCACCACACACACCCCGGCTTTACAGTTTTTGCTTCGTGCTTTGCTGATAAGGAACAGCAAACATAACCAACCCAAAATTCTGTTCGTAATTAGGATAAATCATTTGACTATGTTTATGAAGTGAAAAGCATCTTGACAGCTCATGTTATCGAACATTTTTCAAATAGGATGTAGAACTGCATTTTTTGTATCGTAGCGTTGAAAATAATACACAAATATATGTTCTTTGTCGAATTAGGATTTCTCAAGGTCGTTTTGACACAGGCCACAGCATATAAACAGACTCTTTGCCAGGCACTTCAATGCACTATTGTTATCAATACCATTTCCGATTTTGAGCAATCTAGCGTAAGCAAGATATTGCATTATAAGTATAAGGCTTATCATCAAAAGTTATGCAAGATCGATGTAACACTTAGGCGACTTTTGTAATGCTCACGTTTTCTGATGGCGAGTCTGCTTTTCGTCAAAATATATTAATTACTCTTAGCGAGATAAACACAAGCCGGAATAGAAACAGTTATCGTTTACATTGGGGAATATTGATGCGGGTTCGCATCTGTTCGTGACTTCACAATTTAGTCTTTAACTTTTTGATCTCGTTTATCGAAAACTTTGACGCTCTACTATTTAAAAAATAGACCATGTTTCATTTAAGTTAAAATTACGTTGATTAAAATTAGCACACATTCTGCGATCTGCCCAGTCCCTTGTTGAATAACACACGATTTGGCACGTTTGATGTTTACGTCTGTACATGTTTTCCTCCAAATATAAGATGAATGTCATCATGCAGATAACATCATTGTACAATGGATGATTATTAATTAAGTTTCAACGAGACCAACACACATAAACAATGCTTTTCAATCACTGCAAAAGGAAATAGAGGTGGACAGATGAAGCACGCTCGTCTTCACATGTCAACGCCGGGTCATCGAGATTGGGATTTGTACTTTCGCCAGCCTATTTTTCTACGGAAGAAGAAAATTCATTTCAAAGCGGCTTATACGCATAATCAAGATAAATATTTTGCATGTGATTTGCGCTTCTGTTAGAATTCCATCTGGAAATGAAATTCTCGGCATCGCACACTTTGTTCGTAATTTTGCTAAACGCAAAAACACATGAAATTTCATCGGCTGTAATTCGTCCCCGTTCAACGTTTCCTATGAACGAAGATAAATGCCTTCATGTAAAGTACATTTTTGGCAAAGTTCATCGGAAATGAATGGATTTCACCAAGTTGTAATTACATGCATGTGACTGGAATATTAAGCGTACACCCTCAGCCCTTAACAATGAGTATAAGCAAATTATCCAACTACAAAGGTTATGTTGAAACATTACCTTCCCGTATATGGCTTTGTTTTGTTTTACGAGGGGAATCACCCACGATTAAGCAAGTGAACACGGAAAGCATTATTTCAAATTCATTCAATTCGTTTGATAAGCGTTTTTTCATTAATCGAAAACTGACAGTTCCTGTTCACATTACGGAGTTCGACTTTTAACTCGATTTCCTAATATGGTATAATTATAAGAAGCTCCTGAGCCTTTCTTTGCATGAAGTCGAGTGTTTTTTGTTCCCAAATGAAATTGTTGGCCAATCTGGCCCGATCATGAAAGACTTCTTTCAGTCAGACTTAGCAATCGACGCCTTTGAGTGGCCTTTGAATTAAAAATCATCTTAAATTTGTTGATTGCATTTTGCCAACTAATAAGACCTGTTATATTTATCAGTACAAGACGATTGCACACAATATCTTAACCTTATATTTAATTCGTGCTCAGTTTCAAAAAGTGTATCAAAAACAGCAGATATTGGAGAATTGTCATTAGTGTTCTGCTTCCACACCAAGTTCCGGCTTTACAATAATATTTCCGATGAGTTATTAAGTGAGCGATTTCTGAAATGAGCGATAAAATTGGCAAAGTGTACTTTGAATCGAAAATATTCAAGCTGCACCTATTACAAGAGCATTTTACTCAAAGTTTTTAAATATATTTACGCTACACAAATTGAAGAGATCCGTCGAGTTCGTATTCGTAAAAATCATCAAACAACAGAACTGTAACGAAATATTGAAATGTAGAAGTTGAGGATTAATTTTGTCCATCATTTCACAAGTATTTGACACATGAGAATCAAGGATAATTGTTTTTTTGCGCATCATGCTGAGATGACGATGTACTCAATAAAAAAAAACAAATTTGGATGTGTTCTGCTTCGAACTAACAATGTTATCATGAGCCGATTTGGCCCACAGTCAACTCTAAGTAATGAAATGATTTTCGCAGATAATGCTATTGTAATAAAATTCCACAAAACAAAGTTTTGTTTGTGCTGTAGAGAAAGGTGTGAAATAA